TCGGCTAAGGGTGAGGTGCAGAGTGGAGCGAGAAATTTTCCACCCACAGTGGTCAAGAACAGAAGGGTGTTGGCTTAGACAGAAAACCTGTCCGCTGAGGGAAACAGGGAAGGCTTATGGAAACTGCTTCAACCATCTGATCCCACTCGCTCATTCATTGCTTTTTTTTATTTGTAAAAGGCTCCTACAGCTAATTTTCACACAAACATCTTAAATGAATTGCTGTGTCTGTGGCTCCATTCTAGCAAGTGGAGCATCAGTGAGGTTGCATTGAGGGTTCATGGCACTAAATGAAAGAGATAAAGTCTTCTGTCTCCCAGAGACCATATAGAAGGAGCCAGTGGAAAATAAATATTTATTAGTTGGTGAAAGGTGTTATCAGGAAGTTATTGCAGTAATCAAGGTCATAGTGATAATGGTTTAGGCTGGAGTGGTCGTGATTGAGATGATGAAAACTGAATTGAATTCTGGACATATTTTAAAAGACCTGATAAGATTTGTGTATATATTATATGTGGAATATGAAGTGAAGGAGATGTTGTGAGCACCTTGGAGGAACTGAGTTACAAAGGAAACTTATGAAGGCAGAAATCAGGAATTTTGTTTTTTATGCATTGAATTTGAAATTTTTATTAGACATGCAAGTGGAGAGGTTAATTAATCAATTAGATTTAGATAGGTGCACGCAGAGCTGTTTCTTTTGGAGGTTCCAAGGGAGAATCCATTGCTTACCTACTCCAGCTTCTAGAAGTGCTGGCATTCTTTGGCTGATAGTTGCATCACTTCAGTCTGTGCTTCTGTTACTGAATTTGCCCTCTCTCAATTTCCACTTGCTGTCTTATAACAAACAACTTTGGCTTTACATTGGGCTCAACCGGATAATCTGGGAAAATTTCCCCATATCAAGATCCTTAACGTAGTCATACCTGCACAGCTCCTTTTGCTATATAAGTAACATCCTGGGGATTAGAATAGGGACGCATTTGGGGTGCCTGGGTGGCTCAGTCCATTAAGTGTCAGACTTGGGCTCATGTCATGATCTCACGGTTCATGGGTCCAAGCCCTGCATCGGGCTGTGTGCTGACAGCTCAGAGCCTGGAGCCTGCTTTAGATTCTATATCTCACTCTCTCTCTCTGCCCTTTCCCTGCTTGCACTCTGTCTCTCTTTCAAAAATAAACATAAAAAAAAAAAAAAAAGAGTAGGGCCCTATTTGCGGGGCCATTATACAGCCTACTACACTCCATTACCAAAAAAAAAAAAAAAAAAAAAAAAAAGACAAGAAAACCCCCAAAGACTGGAGAAAAATGACATTCTTTTTAAACCATTACTAACTATGCAGGAAAGTAAGGGATCTCCAAAGGGGGAGCTAGAAATGGGGAATGAGCTTCTGTTGGTAGTGGTTAAGAACAGGACATTGAAATTATAACAGTGATCAGTTAGCAAAAGCCAAAGCCAGGATTTCTCTGAGGGTAAACTCTAGTACCAGAGCTAAGATTGAGAGACTAACAATGGGAATTTTCTAGGGCCTCTCTTATAAGGGTGCTAATACAGCTCCTAATAACCCCCAAAAGCCCCACCTCAAAGTACCAGTGTGTTGGAGATCAGGATTTCAACATGTGAATTTTGGGGGGACACAAACGCTCAGATTATAGGTGTTATTTTCCTTAGCAAAAGGGATTTTGCATGTGTGATTAAATCAAGGACCTTGAGATGTAGAGATTGGCCTGGGTTATCTGAGTGGGCTCAGTGTAATCACCAAGGGAGGCAGAAAAAGAATCAGAGTCAGATGGGGATGTAACTGTAGAAGAAAGGCAAAGAGAGATGTAATGTTTCTGGCTTTGAAGGTGGAGGAAGGGGGCTTCTAGAATGAGGAAAATATAAGGAAATGGGTTCTCTGTCTAGCAAGAAACATAGTCCTGCCAACATCTGACTTCAGCCCAATGAGATCTGTTTTAGACTTCTGACCTACAGAATTATAAAATCATATGTTTGTATTGTGTTAAGGCACTAAGCTTGGGGAAATTTGTAATAGCAGCAATTGGAAACTAATACAGCAATTATATCTATATTGATATTAGTCAAAAGGCATTACTAGAGATAATCATGATAAAAGGTTCAGTTCATAAGGAAAACATAACAATTTAAAATATGTGTACATAATTACATGGCCTCTGTGCTAATGTTCCAATTCTATGTAGAGAATAATAAAACATTGGGTGACATTAAGGAAGAACCAAAATAAGTGGAGACATTCTGAGTTGGTTACTGGACAGGGAACTAGTTCTGAACTCAGACTCAGCTGCTCGCCACTCAAAAATCAATACTTGAGACAAGTGATGGTGGGAGAGGAAAGGTTTCTTGACTCAGGAAGCCAGCAACTTGGGAAGATGGTGGACTAACATCTCAAAGACCATTATCACCGTCCACATGAAGTTGGAGGGTTTTAAAGGGGGAAGGCAGGAGAAAAGGGAGTGAGGCTATATGCAGGAGCAGCAAGTGCCCAGGCCGTTAGTCCTATGTTGACATGACACTGAACAGACTTGTTGGGATCATCAGCAGCTGTTTTCAGGTGTAGTCAGGCATTATCTTCTGGGAGATTTGGTCCTTCACTCCACAAGGCCAGTGGTCTGCAAATCCCAAGGAAAGTAATTTAGTTCTGCTATAGACCAAGGGACTTAGGTCAGCAAGCAAGAAGTACATAAGCTTGAAGCAAGTTAACCCTTAAGACTGGTTTGAATGCTGTTATAAGTCATAAATTGAAAGACCCAATATGGTAAAGATGACAGTTCTCCCTAAATTAATTTAAAAGTTGCATGCAATCTCAGATCAAATTTTCATCAGGTGGTTTTTCTTATTTGTTAATTTTTGTTTTTGTGGAATTGGATAAGGAAATTAAAATTTTACATAGAAATGTGAAGGTTGAAGAACTGTCAAAATATTGGGAGAATTTGATCTATATCAAGATTTATTATAAATTATAGTAAATAAGATAGTATGGTAGTGGCAAATGGATGGCAAATAGGCTGATGGAGTGGAATAGAGAGCCTACGAACAGACCCAAATATACATAGACGCTTTGTGTATGACAGAGATGCTGTAGGGAAAAGATGGGTTTTTCTTTTGTTTTTCTTCCAACATTTTATTTAAATTCAAGTTAGTTAACATATAGTGTAGTATTGGTTTCAGGAGTAGAATTTAGGGACTCACTACTTAAATACAACACCCAGTGCTCACGCAACAAGTGCTCTCCTTAATGCCCGTGACCCATTTAGCCTATGTCCCACCTGTCTCCTCTCCGGTAACCCTCAGGTTGTTCTCTGTAATTGAGTCTCTTATGGTTTGAAGATGGGCTTTTCAGTAAGTGCTGCTGGAACAGTTGGATATCCACATGGGATATCCCTTTCTCACAGCAGAAGCAAAAATCATTTATAGGCTTAAATGTGAAAGACAATATTTAAAGCTTTTAGAAATTAATATAGGAGAATATCCTTATGACCTCAAAAGTAAAGAAGAATTTTAAAACAAGAAATTACCAACTATAAATGATACTAGATTTGACTAGATTAAAATAAAGAGCTTTTGTTCATCAAAAGATAGCATAAAACCAACAAAAGCCCCCACAAAGTACAGAGTGGACAAAGATACTTGCCACACACATAATTAATAAAGGACTAGCCTTCACAACATATGAAAACTCTTTCAAATCAGTGAGGGATAATCACATTGAAAAAGTGAACAAAAGACTTGAATAGGGACTTTACCAAATAAAAAATATGATGAATAAACATATGTAAATCTCCTCAAGTTCATTGTTAATCAGGGAAATGAAAATTGTAACTGCAGTGAGATGCTATTTGTCATCCTCCAGGGTGGCTAAAATGAAACAATTTGATAACACCAGTTGTTAGTCACAGCTTAGTGCAGGAGAAACTCCTGAAGCCTGCTGATGTGGTGAGTTGGTGCATTCAATTCAGAAAATAGTTTGGCATTATCTAGGAAAGTCAAAGGTACACATAACCCATGATTGTTATTCTGCCAAGTAGATGCCCTTGAATGCCACTTGGGCTACATATACCAGAATATTCAAAACAGTTTTGTTTATTTTAGCTTCACACTGAATACAATGTCTTATACACAGTAGAATGAATAGATAAATCTTGATATGTTCTTACAATAGGTTACTTTATACCCATGCAAATGAACAAATTGGAGCTGTACTTGAAAACTTGGATGAATCTCATAAACAAATACTGAGTGAAAGTAAGGCACAAAAGAACGTATACAGTATAATTTGGGATATATACACAGGTAGTAGAACTATAAAGAAAAGTAAAGAAGAGATTAGCACGCAAATCTTAATAATGGATATTTTTGGATTAGAGCTGGCCACCTGACTTAGGAGCAATTGCTTAGGAGGCACTTCTCTCCCTCATCTTTTTATCATAGAAAAGGTAACTTCCATACAAAAGGGGAAGGTATTAATCATTTCCTGGTTCCCACACAATGGAGACCAACTTAGGTTAGTTAGAGAGAAAAGAATGTATGGTAAGATCAATGGATAGCTCACAAAATTGATGGAAAATCTAATGAATGAGGTTTGGAACATGGACAGGAAGCCATGGGAAATTAGGCAGCCAAAAAGAGAGACCAGATCAATACACAGGAAGAATCTAGTTAGTATCCAGCAGCTTCTGTCATTGGCCTGGCCACAAATGGACATTGAACACTGCCATTACTGTTTCTTCTACTACCCCTGAAAGATTCAAAACTGTCATTTGCTTCCTGTGTTACTCCAGGGTCAGATTTTTAGGTTGCGGCACTGCACTGATTGGAAGGTCAGGTTCTCCTGCACTGATTGGAAGGTCACATTCCCAAATTCTAGGGAAAGGGGCTACTTGCCTACACTTGAGCTTCTTTCTCTGAATAGGAAGTGGTTTTGAACTGGATGGCCAGAAATGAAAAAACACCTACCACAGGAAATATCAGAAATAAACACATCTGGTCCCCTCTGGAAAGAGGAAAAAGAAATGTAATTAGTTAAGATCTGTGAAACTCACTGGGACATGGTTTTACTGGGGGAAAAGACATTGTGCACAGTCATTGAATTGAAAGGAAGCCAGGCTTTCTCTTCCTTCTGCTTTGCAGTATACCATTCTCTCTCTTTTTAAAAAAAAAATAAAAAATTGAGCCTGAGTGGCTCAGTCAGTTAAGCGTCCTGCTTCAGCTTAGGTAATGATCTTGCAATTCATGAGTTTGAGCCTCATATTGGTCTTTCTGCTGTCAGCTCGGAGCCTGGAGCCTGCTTTGGATTCTGTGTCTCCTTCTCTCTTTGCCCTTCCCCTGTTCACGCTTTGTCTGTCTCTCTCAAAAATAAATAAACATTAAAAAAATTTTTTTTTAATTCCAGGAGAGTTAACATATAGTGTTCTATTAGTTTCAGGTGTACAATATGGAAATTCAACAATTCTATGCATTACTCAGTGCTCATCATAGTAAGTGTACTTCACTCTCATGCACTTCTTGTGGTGAGAAGGCAAGCTGGTGCAACCACTGTGGAATAGTATGGAGGTATCTAAAAAAAATTAAAAATAGAATTATCATATGATCCATTATCCACTACTGGGTATTTATCCAAAGAATATGAAAACACTAGTTCAAAAAGGTATATGCACCCTATGTTTATTGCAGCATTATTTCCAATAGCCAAATTATGGATGAAGAAGATGTGGTGTATACACACACACACACACACACACACACACACACACACACCATGGAATATTACTCAGCCATAAAAAAGAATGAAATGTTGTCATTTGCAACAATGTAGATGGAGCTAGAGAGTATTATGCTAGGTGAAAGAAGTTAGAAAAAAACAAATATCATATAATTTCAATCAT